CGTGGGCTGTTGAAGAGTTTTCAGCAACATTGTGAGTAGTTTCTTTTATGAGAGATCAATTTTATCTTTGGGGAAATGTTACACTTTTAAAGTAAACATCGTCATCCAAGCAAAACGGCCTTTGAGGAAGGTGAACGTGTCACAGAAGGGCGCCAGCAAGCCAAGTCTAGTGAGCCAGGGTTACTATCAATGATTGCGAATAAGAGGCATATATGTTTCCTTAGAACGATGCAGAATGCTTTGCTCTTCGCACCTCGGGAATACCGATAAAAAATTCCAGGGTACAAATTTTTGTGAGTACTTAAAATACTTGATCAGAGAAATTGACTTATTTATCCTTGTTAACATTGCACATTCATCATTATTCAAAAGAGTTAGAGTAGAGCTGTCAGAACTCCTGTTATTCGCGCCATTAATTTAGTTATTTTTCCTGCATTAGGCCGAAACTAACATATAACGGAGAGAAAAATGTGGTATATATTAACGTGCCCTCCGAGTACCACCACGTATTTACTAGGTGGATTAACGATGGCTCGTTTCATAAGAAAATCTGCGTGACCTGATCATTTTTCGAGACAGATTCCGTCGGATTAGTATTCCCTAATGGTGGTCGAACAAACAGGGGGTGAGATATCTGGATAAAAATTGTAGGGGCCATGGTGTCTTGACCCAGTAGTACTCACATATTTCATACTAGCTTCGGATGAACTAGAGCAGCGAAACGTATACCTTCGTTGTGTAACATTCAACTCTATACTCCAGTTCTACCTAGCTGATAAACTGACGAAATGAATAAATTCATTTAGGGTCTGTCGCGACGTTCGAACTTTTCTCTACACAAACAAGACAACGTAAACTAAACAACCATGACAAACACTATTATCTATGAGGGTTCTGTTGAAGACTAGTTTCCTAATAAGCAAGGAGCTGAATAGCGCAAAATAACTATTCTAATAGCCCATAAAGATTTCATCTTGTCAGGGAAGCTAATCTATGCTGAAAAGCCGAGAAGCCCTGTACGACTGCTTCATCCCCAAACGAGCGCGTCATGAAACTCGCGACCCTCCAGCCAGCAGTTCAACATTTAACCTTCAGGCCTTTGTCGCCTGAACACTAGAGTGATTACCTCTCAAATAGGATATCGCACCTTTACTTCTTCAATCACGGAAGACGTATTGGCTGGCTGTTTGTCTGACAAATTCTCAAAAGGAGGGACCCACACATGCAGTGAAATTATCCTCCCTCTAAACTGCTTATTCACTCTAGTGTCTATCACTGTGATGTGACCAAATGGTAACTGCAATCGGCAGAAAAGCCGATACTACATTGGCTCCGATACCTAATTCCATGGCGGTGGAATAAACATCCAAACGGATCTAATGCTCAAAGTGGCTAGTTCTTTTCGCAACAAAATCGTGTCAATGAAAATTGTACTCTTATGAACCTGAGATGCGTCTCCTTGACCTGCTCAATGTGAACAGTCTTTTGGAGTGCTCTGTCTAGATTTGAGACCGTTGAATGCGCATACTTTTTCTTCACGAGTGTTTAATAAAGTCCAAAGAGCCGTCAGATTCTTTCGAAACATTTATTGAAGATATGCAATCGAGTCGGTCTAAACCTAATCGTACTACACTGCCGAGCCAAGCTTGCCTGCGTAATCCTAGTAATTAGTTTCATCGTATGCGAACTCCCTAAGTTACACCTGTCAGGTGGCACGTGCACTGCCACATCCAAACTGACTAAAAATTGAATGGGGATGGAAATGTAATCCATAAGTATTGATTAGTGCCTTCGAAGGACTTCGAATACTTAGGTGGCTGTGGATAAACCTGTCGGTGAACTGCTTAGGGGCGGGTCAGTGGTATTCCCGATTGGATGCGGACGAACCGTAATGGTCGTGATAAGGTAATGATAATAATATGCACTGATTCACCTGGAACCCAGCTAAATCTCTTGTTCGTGATGTTTCCAGATCACTGAATGTGCTGCACCAGGCCTCCTTATTTTTCACTCGCTACGATATTCGAGATATCGCGATACATGTACATTTTTTTGGTGCATTACTGGAAACATCAAAACCGAGAGATTCAGCTGGGTTCCTGGTGAGTCTCTCGAAAAAAACAAATTAGTTTGCAAATGAGTGTGTATTCGCAAAATTCGTGCAATTTGGTTTCAAGTAGAACATAAGGTTGACGGAAACCCAGGGACTGCGCCTACCTGATGAGCTGCGAGGGTGGCGAAAGCGGTCGTGGGCTGTCGAGGAGTTTTCAGCAACCTTATGAGTAGAGCATCACAAAATTATGTAATAAAAAGAACTTTCAAACCGAAGTAATATGTATAGACCCATGTGAACGCATTAGTTATGTTAGCCAAACTGAAGATGAAGTGAACACTGAAGTGATATCAAACTGTGCGATGTGGTGTTTATGCTAATACCTTCCTAAAGCGTCCGACCATCGCTCACATTAGACGTACCTTTGTTTACAATTAATCGTACTTTGCTTGGGTGAACACTACCCTGTTCCACCATTACTTATCGTGACAGGGTATAAGATTTTCCAATACAGCAAATGAGAGACGTTTTTTGTAGGTCATAATGCCAAGAGATTTACAAACTTGGGTAGTGTTAATCGTTTTCCCTGCTGAATCTCGTCTCGTTAGATTACAATGCGTTTTTTAAATAAGAAGAGCATAGATCCCATTTGATAACAACTGTAATCAAGCAGATCGTTGGGCGAGACCAACTGGCTGTGTTTATTGCATGAATGATGTGGGTGATCGGGCCACTCTGTACATAGTCATGGCTGAGCCATTTGCTTGAGTTTATCGGATTGACAACGAGCAGATGAATGACTCAGCTGAAGTCATAAGTGACATCAACTGCTCCACGTGGGAAGATTCACTCAGAACAGTGTAGCATGCACAACCACGTGAAAACTACTTGGGACCGATTGGGTAGTCATCTTTTTCGAAAAAGTTTGGTGACAATCCGAATACGGATGGATCTAGACCACAGATTATTGTAATATGCCACGTCAGGTAGACACTGTACCCAGATTTCTGTGCTGCCTAGTGTAACCTCAAGTTCAAATAATTACTGAGTTTTCAGTCAGTGGGAAAAAGTTCTGAATCGATCGACACGTCATTAGTTTCTGCAGAGTGGACTTTAGTCCCCGCCTCTGTCCTGCATAGACTTCAGTACAGTCGTTACACTTAATTTTGTAGACAGTCCTTGGTTCTGTTTTCAGGGAGGAGATCCTTCGATTGCACCAGTGTTTCCCCTCTTATGTTAGCCGTGTTTAGAATTCTTCGAATGATCTCGAACATCTCTGGTTTGTATGGAATAGAATCAGTCCCAATCCATTCCCTTTTTAGTTTCGCTACCGGTACCAACACCTTTCGCCATTGACGCCTAATCAAACGAGCTGGGTATTCAGTACCCGAAAGGTTCGGGCCGATCAGCTTCTGTGCACAGGCCCCTTACATGCCTAAACACTGATGAGGGAATACCGGCAAATACCGACTTCGGATGGGCAATCGAGTGGTTCAAAATTGCCCAAGTGTCGGTTGATTTCTCGTATACTGTGATTTTTAGTTTTCTCCTGACCTTATGGGTCATGCAGTCTGAGGTCAGTGAAGCCGAAATGGACCACATGTACATATTAAGTTTGATGTGCGAATTCAGGTCATTCAGCTAGTTGTAAAAAAATTCACTGACTATGTCTCAATTCACTACGACGAAAGTGTCATCTAAGTAAGGCCAGAATATCTTGTGTGGGTACAGGAATCCCGCTAGAGCTTTCTGTCCAAAATCTTCCATAAAAATATCTTACATAACAGAGCATATTGGACATTCATTTGTTAGACCAAGTCCTTGAGTGTGAACGAAGGCATCAAAAACGGTGTGAGTGAGACATACTATTATATCTTCCACTATTTCATCTACCGTAAGCTGTGTCCGTTCTGAATGGGTGGTGTCTGCTAGTTGCAGTTGCTTGGTTATCTCTACAGAATCCCTTTCGGCCTCCCAGTAATTCACAAACCAGATGTCCCGGTGAGACCGATATCAGACGGAATAGATTCCCTGCCCAAAGTACTGGGATTCTTGAAACCCCTTACCGGGGAACCAAGTGCTTACATTGAAATTTATGACTGCCACGAAAACGAGTGTCGCCGTGGAGCGAGGTGATGTCAGCCCGGTATATACCGTAGCTCGCATTCAACGTTCACCGAGTGTGGCAATCCGAGGTCTTACTAATTGGTTCTCCGTCTGGCCTAAAATCTGGCTAACTCAGTGACCTACTCACTTGACCTGATGAAGCGAAATACTGCACATTTAGATCTACCGACTGTTTACGGAGCTCATTTTACGCGGTCGACCAAGGACGTACATTTTCACGATGACTCCAACAATCGAGTGATTTTGCAGACTTGGAATGCACATCCCCGACCGCAGAGAAAAGCACACCTCTATCCCGAATTTAAACTTCGTCGAAACTACCCAAGTATGGAGTCCATTTCCAAGCAGTACAGAGTTGCCTATCAATAATGTTAGGTAGTTCCAATAAAGCCACCCAAGACTCATCATGTTACTACAGTATCCAGTTCCAAAGCAAATTTGCATGCCCATAATCCTACAAAGTGCCACGTTTCTTGTTACGGATAAATTGGGTGCATCCCGTTCAAAGTACCGGTACGAGAATGGAAACTATACTTGGTACGTAAACGTTAGCGGGTACCGGGGCTACTTGGGCGAGGTCATGGTGAACTTTTCATCCAGGAGCGACGTGGTACGCAGTCTCCGTGATTCATGGGTTGGGCATCAAATTTGCATCGTGTGTAAGATCCGCACTTTCAATCATCGGATTCTAGAATCCATTGTAACCCTGAGTAGGCCCGTGGACATTGCATGCCTACGATGAGTTTCTTCGCAGTAAATGGAGATCTCCCGCTAGCAAGGGGATAACGAGTGATTGAAACTGCAATTGTTGTGGAAATACTTTGCGGGGCACACGGGACAGCGACTGCGTAAGCTGGACTCCATGCGGACGGTGCCCCACGTCCCGGGTCCCCGGCCGATCCACCAGACGTATCCGTATAGTGAACCCTACGGGGCATAGTTATAGACCGATCGGTAGCGACCCGGTCGCTGGCTCTATCGGACCATCATAGCTTAGCACACCTAACTGACGCTCCCAGTCTCCAAAAGAACCCATGCCCGATGCCAATGCACCCGAGGATGTTAGAGAATAGCTTAAAACCGGTACAGATTAGAAAGCCCAGCTCATTACCGCTGGGACGCGGCGTAAGGGCACTACGATGACCGGCGCGGTGAACCAACCCCTCAGCGACGGAGCAACTGAACGATCAGAACTTGTCCGGTGGCGCCGTACCGAGACGGCCACACGCTGCAAACGGTACTTAGGCCACGGACAACACACGGGACGGGCGGAGATACTGGGGGTCAGAGCCGTTCTGGGAAAATCACACCCGCCTAGGATAGCCGAAAAGTAAAGCAACGACAGGTGTTTTGATCACAATGTGTGGCCCTAAAGAGGGCCGTGGTCGCGTTCTCCGTTGTAGCAGCGTCAACTGCTAGGACTACCAAGGCATTCACTTCTTCTTTGGGGTTTTCTTAGCCGCCGGCTTCTTGGGCGTCTTGGCCTTCTTGGGTGTGGCGGGCTTCTTTGGTTTCTTGGCGGCCTTCGGCTTTGACGGGGTCTTGGTCTTTGGCTTGGCCGGTTTCTTGGCAGCCTTGGGCTTCTTCGGGGCTGCAGGCTTCTTGGCCTTGACTACTTTGGGTTTCTTGACAGGCTTAGGCTTAGGAACGGCGGTCTTCTTCTCGGCAACCTTGAAGCTCCCGGATGCACCTTTGCCCTTGTTACCGACGCGAACGAGGATACCTTTCTCGACGGCATGAACAATGCCACGACGGATGTGCGGGCCGAGTTTCTCGACATCAAACTTGTAGTTGGCGGCGATGAGCTTCTTGTTCGTCGGGAGGGATGGGCCCTTGCGGGTTGGAAGCCTTCACCATATCGATCACGGGCGGGTGGTTCGCTGGGATCTTGGGCTTGGCCGATTTGGGTTTCTTCGAAACGGCTGGAGCAGAAGCGGGAGCACTCATTCCCCTCGTGAGACGTTTGCCGCAAACGGAGACGAGAACAAAAACATAGCTACTTGGTTGACCAGTACCCCAAATTCTTGACCGAGGCGTAATCATGATAAGGAATTCGCCAATCACATTAATCTGCATGCTTATTGGACGTCAGCAGACGGCAAAAATAAGCCAATAGCAATGGCATCGTCGATCAGCCGTGGGTTTTCGCGGGCGTCAATGCTTACGCTAGAGTTGTTTTGAGGATTGTACAGTCGTCAGACCAGGAGTAGACTCGTTCGTGTGACGGTGAGCTTCCTGCTGCAAACATTGGGCCGCACTCTCATCGCACGTGCTAGTGGCCACGGCTGAATCGCTGTTTTGTCTTGGCGGGTGGGTAACCGATCTGCGGTCACCCGGATTAACTCAGCATATTGTCGGGGGGACGTCTTCGTGCAAAATGCTGCGCTAGACTTATTGATAGAGTCAGACTATATCCGGTAGGCATAGTATGGCGTATTTACAACCCCAGGTTGCTGCGTTAAACGGGTTTCTCTGTCATCATTGACAAATCCCCTGAGGACTTGGACTACGTGCAGGACGGAATGAAAGAATGTTTTCTGGACGTTTGACAGCCTCGAGTTGGGTTAGCTTCGTTGCTCCGAATATTCTAATGGGATCTGACCAATCCAACTTCTGCCGGCAGATAAGCCGTCTAATTCAGTAAATCAGCGCTTTAGCGGTGGTGCCCGTTTGGTGCGTGTATCACCAACGTCTTGCCGTTCTACCGTGTGTGTAGTTGGCACTTACTTAGAAGTTTACAAGGCGGACCCACCGCCACTGTTTTGGGCAATCTAACTCAGTCTGGTTAAGGGTACTGTCCTCACTACTGAGGAGGATCGTTAGTCTCTGCATGCTCCAAATGGGATCGCTAAGGCTGAGTTATTTCATCAGATTAGCACTCTTCGTGCGTCCACCTGAAGCACCTAAATCCTAACGGCCATCTTGGTGGAATCATGTATGGACGTTTATTCCATTCAGTTCTTTGGTCTTTGCCGATGACCACTCAAAAATGTTTATCTGGGTGAACGCTTCCGACAATGGGCGCTCTACAAACTAAACACTTGACTCAGTTAAGCACGTTTCCGCTTATGTTGACTCATCGACCTGTCTTCACGGTTCAGCGCGGCACGCACGAGGTCGCAATATCTCGGGATTTACGCGCAGATTGCCATCGAAGAGCAGAAATTGCATAGTCGTTCAGCTGTAGCACCCTTTCGGTGCCTAGCTGCCATGCCACACGAAGGAGGCACGAGGGCTGGAACACTGTCAGGTCGCCCAAGCCTAGACAGGGGAAGTCGAGTGGCAGAGGTCGGGTTCGAACCACGGACCTTCCGGTCAGTAAATTCGCGCTCTAACCACTTGGACCATCTTGCATAGGGACATGTGGTGCTGAGCTGCAACTTGGAGAGCAATAGTTGCGTCGTTTTTTGCAGGCTGTCTGCCGTATTTCCCAGTGTAAAACCAACGTAAACAACTAAAGCAATCACAGGCCGAATACTTCCCCACTCCAACATACCGTCTCCTTAACACCTAAGCACGATGCTGCGTTAGTTGATAATCCGGGGTTCACAGCGCAGGCGAGCCTCAAACAATGGGGAGTTCCAACGAAAATATATTCACACAAGCGGACACATCTCCGACAGGGAGACAGGTCTTCCGCTATCCGCTGTGAACCCAGAAACGAATAAAATTTCGGAAAACCGGTCTCATAGATCGTTTGCTCCGTTTACAGGACCTGTGTATGCCAGTCGTTTAGGCGCAGCAATCACCTCATTAAGTGAACATAAACACCGGAACCAGGATTGTTCGAGTACCTCTGCAGAAAGAACCTAACGATGCCACCTGGTGGCGCGAAACTCTGTAAATAGTATGCCACAGGATACATCCGGCAGACAAACGTGGGCGGTGCCCGATTACCGACCGGAACTAGACATTTGGATGAAACCGACCAGGGACAAATAGACCACATCAGTGCCTAATGGGATACAAATCCGTCGACTGGGTACCAGGCGTGCTGGCGATAAGTCCCAACAAGTGAACCGTTTTTACCGGCGAGGGCGACCTGCACCAACCGAAACCCGCCTTTTGGTGAAACCTAAGACCAACCGGCAGCTACGCCTGATAGTCTGGCATAACGCTCAGCCGACCGGGCAACAGCGGCAATTTACCCACACCCCAAAAGGCTAGACCTGAGGTACCCCCCAAGAAAATAAAACGAGTATATCATAATGTGGGTGGCCCTAAAAAGGGCCGTTATGGCGTTCACAGGGCAGCTTTGTTGGTGCCGATTTAAGCCCGTTCACCACGGATGCGGCGTGCAAGCTGGATGTCCTTGGGCATGATGTTGGCATGAAAGCGCACAGGTTAGTATCCTCGAACAGACCAACCAAATATGCTTCGCTGGCTTCCTGTAGAGCAGAGACAGCCGAGCTCTGGAACCTCAGGTCGGTCTTGAAGTCCTGGGCGATTTCCCTCACCAGACGTTGGAAAGGCAGTTTGCGGATCAGCAGCTCGGTGGATTTCTGATAGCGGCGGATCTCACGGAGAGCGACGGTCCCCGGCCTATAGCGATGAGGCTTCTTTACACCACCGGTGGCTGGTGCACTTTTGCGCGCGGCCTTGGTCGCGAGCTGCTTCCTCGGGGCCTTTCCACCTGTACTCTTGCGGGCAGTCTGCTTGGTGCGTGCCATGTCTGTGAACAACAAGGAGCAGGCGACGGTGAGCAGATATATAGGTAGGAATACTGGCTTGTGATTGACTAGAATTAAGCCAACCAAATGACGCAGGAGCTTGACACCGATTGGTCCGATCAAATTGGGCGAGGACAAACATGTGGGCAGCCAGTTGGGCGTAGGTGACACGCCAAGTAGTCACCCCAGAAAGACTAGGCCTAAACAGCCAATCAAATAAATTAACAGCCAGCAACCCACGTACAGCCCCTTTTCGTTTGTTTTAGTTTGCTGATGACTTAAACAAATTGGCATCAAGGTTTCGTCTACAGTTAACACAGTGTTTCATACGTGCTCCACAGGCGTATAGTATAAGCATACGCAATTGCAGAAGGGCATTCGCCGTGGGATTTTCGAGGACAACCTCTTCACATTGTAATGAAATTTATCTGTTGAAGGAAACGGCTGATAAAAACACATCTCACCTAATCTCTTAGTTCGGAAAAGAAGAAAATAACAAATATGCTTTTCGAAATTGACAAACTATCTGCAGACACCAGTTTTGTTTATGGTCATACACACGCGCGGTTTGTGCGACGCGCTAGACAGGACATCTGTGTTGTTTGCCACCCAATCGTTACTCTGTGGCGGTGTTGCTGAACTGCCCGGTACGGTGACATATCTCACAACACTATAGGCACAGCGTGCCTATCGGATTGCTTGTCAAATTTTGGCGTCTAAAATAATAAACTTCGGGTTTTTTGTTGAAGGCCGTGTTAATTATTATTAATTATTAATTCTCAATGTTATCAATTATTTATTTATTTATTTAATTATTAATTAATTAATTAATAATTTACAATTAA